AGACATGTGCCGCGAGCTCAAAACATTTTCCAGAATTAAAAATTCTCGCCTGGCAAGGCTTTAACAATCGGAAACTTAACGCGTTTATAACCTTGGAAAGCAAAATGGCTACAAAAAAGTTTTAATTTCTAGAATCTTGTCTATAACGTAACAACGCTATTTTTTTATAGGTATTGACAGTTATTTAGAATTAAGTATATCAATATTATATTCATAAATGTGACTATTGTGTTACAGAGAAAATGTCTTGGCAGGACCCGGGGTCCTGTCTCGGCAGTTTATGCAAAGGCGATTTTCTTATTTAATCTTAAAACGTTTATAACCTTGGAAAGCAAATAGCTAGAAAAAAAATGAAGTGTTTTTAATTAATAAGAACATTAACTATAAACGTAACAATGCTATTTTTTTCGATTATGATTTTTTAAATTTTGCATTAGTAGGCATCCAGGATTTATGGCGAAAATTTCATTTTCGATATGAAAGTACATTAACATGTATCTGTTACATTTTAGATGCATATTCTGCAAACTCAACCCGTTTTTCATAATTGAAAAATCTCATCTTTATGATGAGTTATAACAGTTTACGTTTCTTTAATTAATTAAATTTATGAAAATGATCGACAAAATTAGGGTTTATTATTTTCCCTTATGATCATACTACTTATATCTAACGCCCGGTTGTAAGTGAAGTTAGCCAATCAGAACTTCATACCCAAACACACTTTTATTATTATTATTATTATTATGAATTTCAATTTCACACACAACAACCCCAAAGGGTTTATGGCTGGTTTTTTTGATATTAAAGAAAGAATTATAGAATGATCTGCATTATTTTACAGATCCACTAAACTTGAGTCATATTAATATTAATATATTAACTATCTGGTCGCGGTATGCCCCAATAATAAAAAAAATTAAAAAAAAAAAATATTTACACATGAAAACCTCATATAAACATCTGAATATAATATATGTGTGTGTGTATGATGTTCTCATTCTGGGGGAAATTGATATACCAAACGGTAAATGGAGAAAGAAAGAGTGCAATAAATATTTATCAATTCATATACATATTATATTACATGACTGATAAGTAAAAAATTCATGGTTTGTTATTGATATTTATTGGTAACTAACTAGCTCATCCATCTTTTGGTAACATCTCCCAACCAAACTACAACATTCATTACATATTACTGGTTGATTGCATGGTTAATATTAACTTTAATAATAATTTGTTACGATTTCGGTCGACGCCTACAATTTTCTAAAATGGATAATTTTTTGTTTTTCAAAAAAAAAAAAAAAAAAAAAAAATTTTTTTGTGTGGAACTAAATGATTGGATGTGATTTGTGCGTTATATATATTTTTTTTAAAAAAAAAATTTAATTTAACGAATCATTAAATTAGTAACTAGTATTAGTATACGACACACCCAGATTTTTTTTTTACGACGAATACTAATTAATATTAATTATTTTATAATAATAATGAGGGATGACAATAAACGGAAATATTAGTTTTGAATGATAAATAAATAAATTCCCTTTCACAACATATATAAGCAACATTTATTTATTTGTATATGCTTTTTAAAGGAAAAAAAAATTATGTCAAATTATAAATTAAATTAAAAAATATTAATTAATTGTATTAATTTAGGAATAACAATCAATTGAATGGTTATTGATTTTATATATATGCATGTCTTTTTTAGTGTTGTAATGTTTGTTTGTTTAGATTAAAAAAAAACAATAAGAATGATTGTGTGAGAATAGAAATTTATATAAAAGGAAAAATGCGCGAGTAGAATACGAGAGAAGAAGAAAATGATGCGCGAGTAGAATAGTAATTGGAAAAAAAATTACTATTGTATTAATGGTTACTGTTACCCGGGCGAAAAATATGTGCAAGCATGTATGCATGTATATGGTAGACAGGATAATCTTTAAAATTAAAAATTAAATTCAAGGATTATGCCTGCCAACTATATTTTACATAATCTATCTATAAGTGATAATTATGATCGAATTATGAGTCAATCATTTTTTCGTTAACCTTCAAAATCTACATTTTTTTATTTAAATCATGTGACTTGGTGGAAAATTATCGAAAAAAAAAATTACAATTTTTTATTTCCTTAATTGAATCAAACTAAGGAATATTACATACACAGCATAATAAATAATATGTCGTGTACCTTTTACTTATTTCCATATTTATCCATTATATAATGCGTAATAAATAAAAAAAGTAAATTTATGTAAGGTGATAATAATTTTTAGATCTAATCTTATCAAATTCAAATTTTTATCAATAATCAA